GTGTGTGTGTGAGTGTTTGTGTGTGTGTTTTGTGTGTGTGTGTGTATTTATGTGAGTATGTTTGTGAGTGTGTTTGTGTGTGTGTTTGTGAGTGTTTGTGTTTTGTGTGTATGTGTGAGAGAGTGTGTATGTGTGTGTGAGAGAGTGTGTCAGTGTGTGAGTGTGTGAGTGTGTTTATGAGAGTGTGTGTTTGTGTGTGTGTTTGTGAGTGCGTGAGTGAGTGTGTGAGAGTGTGTGAGTGTGTGCGAGTGTGTGAATGTATGCATGCGAGTGTGTATGTGACAGTGTGTGACAGTGTGTGAATGTGCGTGAGAATGTATGTACGTGATAATGTGTGACTGTGTGCTTAAGTGTGTGTTGTGAGAGTGTGTGTGTGGGAGTGTGTGAGCGTGTGAGCATGTGAGAGTGTTTGTGTGTGTGTTTTGTGTGTGTGTTTGTGTGTGTATGTGTGTATTTATGTGAGTATGTTTGTGTGTGTGTTTGTGTTTTGTGTATGTGTGTAGTTATGTGAGTATGTTTGTGAGTGTGTTTGTGTGTGTTTGAGTGTTTGTGTTTTGTGTGTGTATGTGTGAGAGAGTGTGTATGTGTGTGTGAGAGAGTGTGTCAGTGTGTGAGTGTGTGTGTTTGTGTGTGAGAGTGTGTGAGTGTGTGTGTGTGTCACTGTGTGTGTGTGTGTGTGAGAGTGGGGAGCGGTGGTGCTGTGGTTAGCGCTACGCTGCGCTATGAACCTGGCCACTCGGGTTCGATTCCCGCTCACGGCCAACACCACCAGTGACGATTATCTGAACCGGTCCCGGGCCTCCCCTAGGTCGACTCAGCCTCAAATGAGTACCTGGTGCGGTGTGTAAACATTGCCACTAGGGAGACAAAGGCGGTCGGGCGTGGTGCTGGCCACCCACCCCCTCATGTACCGATCCGGCCTTCATAGGTGCTCGCTAACAGCACTTGCCCCTACAGTCTGTTAAGGCTATATGGGGGATCTTTGTTTTTGTGTGAGAGTGAGTGTGTGAGTGTGAGTGCGTGAGTGTGTGTGAGGGTGTGTGAGAGTGTGTGAGTGTGTGTGAGTGTATGAGTGTGTGTGAGTATGTGTGTGTATGTTTATGACAGATGCCATATTTTCTGTCCGTCTGCTACAGCAGAGGTGTAGGGAATTCCAACAAGACCTACATCTCTGCTTTATTGACCTGGTCAAGGCCTATGATACCATCAGTAGGCCTGGGCTCTGGGTTGTTCTTCGTGCTTTTGGAGTCCCTGACCCTCTGCTCACGATCATTAAGGACCTTCATGATGGTGAGCGGGCCCGGGTAAAACTACGTGGCCGGGAGTCAGAGCCATTCCCTGTACACCTTGGGGTGCGACAGGGATGTGCTCTGGCTCCCACATTATTTAACATCTATTTTGACCACGTAGTTCGTGAAGCCTTCAATAGCTGTACCGGGGGAATCTCCATATGGTACAGATATAATGGGAGGCTGATCGATGCCCGGGTGCGGTCAAGGGATGGCTCCCTATTGCTCAACCACGTTATGTATACCGATGATTTGGTAATAGCTGCTCAGTCAGAGGAGGAGTTGGAGACGCTGCTGCTGAGACTGGAGCGTGCCACTAAGAGGTGGGGCCTTACCATCAGCCCCACCAAAACTAAGCACCTGCCTGGGTATTTTGTACCATCGGACACTCCACCCCCACAACTCCCAATCGGTGATGGGGCAGTTGTGGAGAGAGTGGAGAGTTTCCCATACCTGGGCAGTGTGCTTATGACCGGCTCCAGTTTAACAGCAGAGGTCTCACTCCGAATCAGTCGAGCGGCAATATCTTTTCATCGGTTGCGTAACGCTGTGTGGAAGCTACCTGGTCTGTCACTCCGCACTAAGCTTCAGGTCTTCTCGGCCACGGTCATTCCCTCCCTTCTCTACGCTTGCGAAACGTGGACCCACCTAATGGAACATCTTCGCCGGTTAGAAACATTTAGGCTAGCCTGCCTTCGATCCATCCTGGGTTTAACCAGGCTGGATTGTGTGAGGAGCTCACAAATCCTCGAAAGATCTGGGCAAGGTCCCATCGGTGAGCTCCTCCGGCAGGCAAGGCTGCGTTGGCTGGGTCATGTAGCCCGCATGCCCAGCCACCGCATGCCGAAACAGCTTTTGTTCGGCCGGATCGAGGGGGCTAAACGGGCGCGGCACGGGCTGGAGAAGAGATGGAGTGATGTGGTACAGGAGGACGTGGAGCTGAGTGGACTTGCCGATAGACTGGTACCAGCGATGTCAAGATCGGCCTCTGTGGAGGAGGCTCGTGAAGGACACTACTGGGCAGTTGGAGGCAGTCGCCCTCCAACAACAACGGAGGGCGGAGGAGCGACGCTCACAACAACGAGCGGAGCGCCGGGTGGCTAAAGCACAGCAGGTTGGCACAGTAGGGGGCACAGGTGGTGCATCAGCCAGTCATCTCAGTCATCTCAGTCGACCCGTGGCACTTGGGTCTGCCCCGTGACCTCCTGCCCGCGGGCGTTCGACACTTCACGTGGGCCTCCCCTAGGTCGACTTAACCTGAACATTTAAAGACCCGAAACGGTGTGCAATAGACACTGGGGAGACAAAGACGGCCGGGTGGGCGTGGTTCTGTCCACACCACAACCAATCATAGGCCGTGCTGCTGCTGCTGCTTACCAACAGCACTTGCTCCAACAGACTGTGTGAGCTACACGGGGGACCTTTGTCTGTGTGCGAGTAGCTACCATCATCACCATCATCACCACCACCAGTTTGACCAATACTGACATCACCAGCACCACCCTCACCACTAACAGTTTACTCACCCACTCACTCACCCACCAAATCACTCACCCACTCACCCACTCAACCACTCACCCACCCACTCAACCACTCACTCACCCACCAAATCACTCACCCACTCACCCACTCACCCACCCACTCAACCACTCAACCACTCACCCACCCACTCGCCCACCAACTCGACCACCCACTCACCCACTCACCCACCCACCCACTCACCCACTCACTCACCCACTCACCCACTCACCCACCCACCCACTCACCCACTCACTCACCCACCCACTCACCCACCCACTCACCCACCCACTCACCCACTCACTCACCCACCCACCCACCCACTCACCCACCCACTCACCCACCCACTCACCCACCCACTCACTCACTCACTCACCCACTCACTCACTCACCCACAAACCCACTCACCCACTCACTCACCCACTCACCCACTCACTCACCCACCCACCCACTCACCCACCCACCCACCCACTCACCCACTCACTCACCCACCCACTCACCCACCCACCCACTCACCCACCCACCCACTCACCCACCCACTCACCCACCCACTCACTCACTCACCCACCCACTCACCCACTCACTCACCCACTCACTCACTCACCCACTCACCCACCCACTCACCCACCCACCCACCCACTCACCCACTCACTCACCCACTCACCCACCCACTCACCCACCCACTCCCTCACCCACCCACTCACCCACCCACCCACTCACTCACCCACTCACTCACTCACCCACTCACCCACCCACCCACTCACTCACCCACCCACCCACTCACCCACCCACCCACCCACTCACCCACCCACCCACCCACTCACCCACCCACCCACTCACTCACCCACCCACTCACCCACTCACCCACTCACCCACCCACCCACTCACCCACCCACTCACTCACCCACCCACCCACCCACTCACTCACCCACCCACTCACCCACCCACCCACCCACTCACCCACCCACCCACCCACCCCACTCACCCGCCCACTCACCCACCCACCCGCCCGCCCACCCACCCACCCGCTCACCCACCCACCCACCCACTCACTCACCCACCCACCCACCCACTCACTCACCCACCCACCCACCCACTCACCCACCCACCCACTCACACACCCACCCACCCACTCACCCACCCACCCACCCACTCACTCACCCACCCACTCACCCACTCACCCACTCACCCACCCACTCACTCACCCACCCACCCACCCACTCACCCACTCACCCACCCACTCACCCACTCACCCACCCACTCACCCACTCACCCACTCACCCACCCACCCACCCACTCACCCACCCACTCACCCACTCACCCACTCACCCACCCACCCACCCACTCACCCACCCACTCACCCACCCACTCACTCACTCACCCACTCACTCACCCACTCACCCACTCACTCACCCACCCACCCACTCACCCACCCACCCACCCACTCACCCACTCACTCACCCACCCACTCACCCACCCACCCACTCACCCACCCACCCACCCACTCACTCACCCACCCACCCACTCACCCACCCACTCATCCACCCACCCACTCACCCACCCACCCACCCACTCACCCACTCACTCACTCACCCACCCACCCACTCACCCACCCACTCACCCACCCACCCACCCACTCACCCACCCACCCACTCACCCACCCACTCACTCACCCACCCACCCACCCACTCACTCACTCACTCACCCACCCACCCACTCACCCACTCACCCACCCACCCACTCACCCACCCACCTACCCGCTCACCCACCCACCCACCCAATCACCCACCCACCCACTCACCCACCCACCCACCCACTCACTCACCCACCCACCCACTCACCCACCCACTCACCCACCCACCCACTCACCCACCCACCCACCCACTCACCCACTCACTCACTCACCCACCCACCCACTCACCCACCCACTCACCCACCCACCCACCCACTCACCCACCCACCCACTCACCCACCCACTCACTCACCCACCCACCCACCCACTCACTCACTCACTCACCCACCCACCCACCCACTCACCCACTCACCCACCCACCCACTCACCCACCCACCTACCCGCTCACCCACCCACCCACCCAATCACCCACCCACCCACTCACCCACTCACCCACTCACCCACCCGCCCACCCACTCACTCACCCACCCACTCACTCACCCACCCACCCACCCGCCCACCCTGTCCCACCTCCTGCGGAACTCCTCCCTCTCGCGCCGCGTCATGGCGAGGACGTTGTAGAGGGCCCTCAGCTCCGGGGTGATGGTGTCGGCCTGGGTCGCCATGGCCTGGGTCATGGGGCGAACCCGAGCCTCAGGGGTCGCAGCGCCAGAGGGCAGCCCCAGGGGGAATCCGGAGCCTGGGGGGCAGCCGCCTTCCCATAATGCACTGCTGCCCGGAGAGCCTGCAGGGGGAGAGGGGGGTGTCGTGCTGGTCAGTCTGGAGCCTTGTCCGTCACTCACTCGCTCACTCAGTCAGTCACTCACTCAGTCACTCAGTCAGTCACTCACTCAGTCAGTCACTCAGTCACTCAGTCACTCACTCAGTCACTCACTCAGTCACTCAGTCACTCAGTCACTCACTCAGTCACTCACTCAGTCACTCAGTCACTCAGTCACTCACTCACTCAGTCACTCAGTCACTCACCCACTCACTCAGTCACTCACTCAGTCACTCAGTCACTCAGTCAGTCACTCACTCAGTCACTCAGTCACTCGGTCACTCACTCACTCACTCAGTCACCCACCCACTCACTCACCAACTCACTCACTCACCCACCCACTCAGTCACTCACTCAGTCACTCACTCACCCACTCACTCACTCACCCACTCACCAACTCACTCAGTCACTCACTCGCTCACTCGCTCACTCAGTCACTCAGTCACTCGGTCACTCAGTCACTCAGTCACTCAGTCACTCACTCAGTCACTCACTCAGTCACTCACTCAGTCACTCACTCAGTCACTCAGTCACTCACCCACTCACTCACTCAGTCACTCACTCAGTCACTCACCCACCCACTCACTCAGTCACTCAGTCAGTCACTCACTCACTCAGTCACTCACTCACTCACCCACTCACCAACTCACTCAGTCACTCACTCAGTCACTCAGTCACTCACTCACTCAGTCACTCACTCACTCAGTCACACACTCACTCAGTCACTCACTCGCTCACTCAGTCACTCAGTCACTCAGTCTCTCAGTCACTCACCCACTCACTCACTCAGTCACTCACTCACTCACCCACTCACCAACTCACTCACCAACTCACTCACTCACTCACCAACTCACTCACCAACTCACTCACTCACCAACTCACTCACTCACTCAGTCACTCACTCAGTCACTCACTCACTCACCCACTCACCAACTCACTCAGTCACTCACTCAATCACTCAGTCACTCACTCACTCAGTCACTCACTCACTCAGTCACTCACTCAGTCACTCACTCACCCACTCACTCGCTCACTCAGTCACTCAGTCACTCGCTCACTCACTCACTCAGTCACTCACTCACTCAGTCACACACTCAGTCACTCAGTCACTCACACACTCACTCACGCACTCACTCAGTCACTCGCTCACTCACTCACTCGCTCACTCACTCAGTCACTCACTCGCTCACTCACTCGCTCACTCACCCACTCACCAACTCACTCACCAACTCACTCACTCACTCACCAACTCACTCACTCACTCAGTCACTCACTCAGTCACTCACTCACTCAGTCGCTCAGTCACTCACTCACCAACTCACTCAGTCACTCACTCACTCGCTCACTCACTCGCTCAGTCACTCACTCACTCAGTCACTCATTCATTCAGTCACTCAGTCAATCACTCACTCACTCAGTCAGTCACTCACTCACTCACCGACTCACTCGCTCGCTCACCCACCCACTCACTCAGTCACTCAGTCACTCACTCGCTCACTCACCCACTCACTCACTCGCTTGCTCACTCACTCACTCAGTCACTCACTCAGTCACTCACTCACCAACTCACTCACTCGCTCACTCACTCACCCACCCACTCAGTCACTCACTCACCCGCTCACTCGCTCACTCGCTCACTCATCGACTCATTCACTCACTCGCTCACTCACCCACTCACTCGCTCAGTCACTCAGTCACTCACTCGCTCACTCACTCACCCACTCACTCACTCGCTCACTCACTCACTCATTCACTCGCTCTCCCACCCACTCACTCACTTTCTCACCCACTCACTCACTCAGTCACTCAGTCACTCACTCAGTCACTCACTCACCAACTCACTCACTCGCTTGCTCACTCAATCACTCAGTCACTCACTCAGTCACTCACTCACCAACTCACTCACTCGCTCACTCACTCACCCACCCACTCAGTCACTCACTCACCCGCTCACTCGCTCACTCATCGACTCACTCACTCACTCGCTCACTCACCCACTCACTCGCTCACTCACTCACTCACTCGCTCTCCCACCCACTCACTTTCTCACCCACTCACTCACTCAGTCACTCAGTCACTCACTCGCTCACTCACTCACCCACTCACTCACTCACTCGCTCACTCACTCACTCACCCACCCACCCACTCACCCACTCACTCACTCACCCACTCACTCACTCACCCACTCACTCACCCACTCACTCACTCACTCACCAACTCACTCACTCGCTCACTCACTCACCCACCCACTCAGTCACTCACTCGCTCGCTCAACCATTTACTCGCTCGCTCACTCACTCACTGACTCACTGGCTTGCTCACTGATTCACTCACTCGCTCACCCATTCACTCGCTCACTGACTCACTCACTCACTCACCCACCCACTCGCTCACCGACTCACTCGCTCGCTCACCCACTCGCTCACTCACCCACTCGCTCACCGACTCACTCGCTCGCTCACCCACTCGCTCACTGACTCACTCACTCACCCACCCACTCGCTCACTGACTCACTCACTCACCCACCTACTCGCTCACCCACTCACTCACCCACCCACTCGCTCACCGACTCACTCGCTCACCCAATCGCTCACCGACTCATTCACTCACTCACCCACCCACTCACTCGCTCACCCACTCGCTGACCGACTCACTCACTCGCTCACCCATTCACTTGCTCACCGGCTCACTCACTCACCCATCCACTCACCCGCTCACCGTCACAATTATCCATCACTACTTCCACCCCCACCTCAAACATACCAACCACCACCATCAACCTATGACCATCATCACGATTAGCTAATCACCATCATCACAACCACCATAATCATTACCACCACCACCATCATCATCATCATCCTCATGACCACCACCACCACCAACAACTACTTGACCAAGTCGAGAGACACCGCGTGGAAGAGCGGGACCGTCTGACCTCTAGGACTCGCCACGGGAATCCGAGTTTCCCCTGGGGTCATCCGTAAAGAACGGTGGACCAAGCGTCTGCGTTCTGCTGATCTCTTTCGTGATGATCCACAACGTGGCCAAACTTGCTGGCACCAGGGAGGAGGTCACCATTGGGTCTGTCCCCACCCCCTTGCGAAGAAGCTCGCAAGAAACGTGTGTTTGTTACTTATTGTGGATACTACTAGGGGTTAGAGCTTGTGGGCTTAGTCATTGTGGTAGGGGTTAGAGCTTGTGGGCTTAGTCATTGTGGATACTACTAGGGGTTAGAGCTTGTGGGCTTACTCATTGTGGATACTACTAGGGGTTAGAGCTTGTGGGCTTACTCAATGTGGATACTACTAGGTGTTAGAGCTTGTGGGCTTAGTCATTGTGTAAGGGGTTAGAGCTTGTGGGCTTACTCATTGTGGATACTACTAGGGGTTAGAGCTTGTGGGCTTACTCAATGTGGATACTACTAGGGGTTAGAGCGTGTGGGCTTACTCAATGTGGATACTACTAGGGGTTAGAGCTTGTGGGCTTACTCATTGTGGATACTACTAGGGGTTAGCTTGTGGGCTTAGTCATTGTGGATACTACTAGGGGTTAGAGCTTGTGGGCTTAGTCATTGTGGTAGGGGTTAGAGATTGTGGGCTTACTCATTGTGGATACTACTAGGGGTTAGAGCTTGTGGGCTTACTCAATGTGGATACTAGGGGTTAGAGCTTGTGGGCTTACTCATTGTGGTAGGGGTTAGAGCTTGTGGGCTTAGTCATTGTGGTTACTACTAGGGGTTAGAGCTTGTGGGCTTAGTCATTGTGGTAGGGGTTAGAGCTTGTGGGCTTAGTCATTGTGGTAGGGGTTAGAGCTTGTGGGCTTAGTCATTGTGGATACTACTAGGGGTTAGAGCTTGTGGGCTTACTCATTGTGGATACTAGTAGGGGTTAGAGCGTGTGGGATTACTCAATGTGGTAGGGGTTAGAGCTTGTGGGCTTAGTCAATGTGGATACTACTAGGGGTTAGAGCTTGTGGGCTTAGTCATTGTGGATACTACTAGGGGTTAGAGCTTGTGGGCTTAGTCAATGTGGATACTACTAGGGGTTAGAGCTTGTGGGCTTAGTCATTGTGGTAGGGGTTAGAGCTTGTGGGCTTAGTCATTGTGGTAGGGGTTAGAGCTTGTGGGCTTAGTCATTGTGGTAGGGGTTAGAGCTTGTGGGCTTAGTCAATGTGGATACTACTAGGGGTTAGAGCTTGTGGGCTTAGTCATTGTGGATACTACTAGGGGTTAGAGCTTGTGGGCTTAGTCAATGTGGATACTACTAGGGGTTAGAGCTTGTGGGCTTAGTCATTGTGTAAGGGGTTAGAGCTTGTGGGCTTAGTCAATGTGGATACTACTAGGGGTTAGAGCTTGTGGGCTTATTCATTGTGGTAGGGGTTAGAGCTTGTGGGCTTACTCATTGTGGTAGGGGTTAGAGCTTGTGGGCTTAGTCATTGTGGTAGGGGTTAGAGCTTGTGGGATTACACATTGTGGATACTACTAGGGGTTAGAGCTTGTGGGCTTACTCATTGTGGATACTACTAGGGGTTAGAGCTTGTGGGCTTACTCATTGTGGTAGGGGTTAGAGCTTGTGGTCTTAGTCATTGTGGTAGGGGTTAGAGCTTGTGGGCTTAGTCATTGTGGATACTACTAGGGGTTAGAGCTTGTGGGCTTACTCTTTGTGGATACTACTAGGGGTTAGAGCTTGTGGGCTTACTCATTGTGGTAGGGGTTAGAGCTTGTGGGCTTAGTCATTGTGGTAGGGGTTAGAGCTTGTGGGCTTAGTCATTGTGGTAGGGGTTAGAGCTTGTGGGCTTAGTCATTGTGGTAGGGGTTAGAGCTTGTGGGCTTAGTCATTGTGGTAGGGGTTAGAGCTTGTGGGCTTAGTCATTGTGGTAGGGGTTAGAGCTTGTGGGCTTAGTCATTGTGGTAGGGGTTAGAGCTTGTGGGCTTAGTCATTGTGATAGGGGTTAGAGCTTGT